TATATATATATATAAAAGACTTATTTAAAGTTTAATGATTTTTAATTTATGAATATATATGTATATAATTTATAATTTAAAAGCAATTACTCATTTTAATAATTGAATGTAATATATGTTGGATATTCTAGAGTTGTATTTCATTAATTGTTAAAAGAATTTAAAACAATGTATTTGCTCCATTTAATTTATAATTTATCATTAATGATAGTTATGTCCTGACATTAAGAAAATGATATATTTGATCCATTTAAATGATATATCCATCATATCCCGTTGACATCTTTATACACAATTGAGACATGCTTATTAAGTCTCTATTGTCGTTTTAAAATTAATTCCTGCCTCTAAAAAATAATTATATGCAATTGACTAAGTATATGTTTCTCTTCCTTTTAAAACTATTCCTCTATTGTGGGGTTGATTTTCTAATTATAAATATGTATAGTTTTGTAATTAGACTATCATTCTTCTTCTTACATAATCTTATTAATCTAAAAAATTATTTATACACACTTGACATTTAACAATAAAATTTACGGTAAATCTTTGCACAAGAAGGTTACTACTTATCATAAGTACATATTTTCTTAAAAGATAATTTCTTTCGTTTTTACAATTTATATGAAAAAGTCCATTATTTTTATGTAAATAAAATTCGAAATTGATCCCATTCTAACTCATTGAGTCATTTCCTCTGCTAATTTTCTATACCATCACATCGCCTCTTCCTCATTAACTTATAATGTCGCCTTTAAGCTTAGAGCTTCCTAGGCCTTAAGTGTTTTGGTGTATTTTATTATATTATTTTACCTTCTAATTCAATGTAATTATTTTGCATAATTTTTTAGAGAACCAAATTTTGTTGCCTTTCAAACTGTGACTTTATTGATGGAGCATGATTTTTTTTGGAACATAAATCTACTAGTGCTTTTTTATTAATAATTTTTTTATTTAGATTTTGTTGAGATGGATTAATTACAATCAACATTTGGTCACAAGGTCTATATAAGTATGTAAATTTTTAAAAAATTAAAAATATCGTTTCATTAATTCAAATTGATGAATAATTAATAAAATTATCTCATATATTGGTTTGAATTAGTGAAATGAAATATCAAATAATTTTTTTAATTTTTAAAAAATTTACAAACTTAATCTATGCATTAAAAACTTTTTATTTAACGGTTTGATCATTAAAATTTAATACAAAACATGAATTATTGAGTAGAGTAAATCTATATATATGTTGCATTATTTAAAAATTTACAAACTTAACATATCCATTAAAAACTTTTCATTCAACAGTTGACATGAATTTTGAGTAGGATAAGTTTAAGTAAAATTACTCTTACAGTAACTGAATCATTCTTCACACACACACACACATATATATATATATAGCAAAAAATTTCTCCAACTTTTTATTGATTAAACTCAAATTCAACATTCCTCATTCAATAATCAATATTTTATAATCTTATTAATTACTAAAGGGTGGCAATACTATGTAGTGCATTTTTCTTAATAAGATTCTCTACATGCATTAATGTTCCCGATATGCATTTAACTCACTCATTCACATTTTGCATTTTTCCATGTTTCTAATGAAGCACCCAATTACAAAAAAAATAATATGAGAAGACACAGTTAACATTTATCCATATTCCCAATGAAGCACGCACTCATTTATATTTTTCATCTTTAACTCCTAAGTTTCTTGCCCATTCACCTTTTTCTTTTTCTAGTCAAACAATATATATTTCTCAACCATGAACAAACAAAAATTACTTCTATTTAATCCCATCTTTATTTTCACTAAAATTACTTGTATTACTTTAAATTTTCATGTGTATTTCATCGTATATTATTTGAGCGTTGATTTACATTAAAAACAAGGAGAAAATATCATATGTCATTGACTTCAACTACTAGAAGTCATCATTGCTTAAACTCCAAAGGCTAATGGGAGGTGATTGCTTATTTGTGGGTGAGATCATAAGTGGTAGAGGATGAAGAAAATAACAAATAGTGAAAAACATGGGAAAGGGCAGTGTAAATCATTTCACTATGTAAAAAAGTATTTCATTATTATTATTTTTAAGATTTTTGAAGTTTGTTTTTGTTGAATTTGAGTTTGTAATTTGTTTGGTTAGATTAGTTAGTTTTTATGGATTGAGTGATTTAAGATCACATTTGAGGGTATCAAAATACGTTTACAAATTGATTTTGTGTGTATGAGTGTATAACATTGGTGGTTATGGGAAGTGAAATGCACATGAGAATGCTAGGATACTGTCTTGGAAATGTAATTGAAGAGATGAAAAACATTGTTTTTGAAATAGTTTTAGTAGCAAAGGGTTGTTTGTTGTGTTACCTATGAAAAATGGGTATTGTTTGTTGCAAACCCTTTACCATTGAAGATAATAAAGAGAATCCAAGAGAAAGATTGTTGAGCAAGGCTGCGCTATTTTTGTGTCGAATGGTGCTTCATTGGAGGATGGATATGTATAAGGTGGACGATAAATGTGATGATAATAATTTGATAAATGCTTTGAGAACTACAATTTGAGAACTTCATTGAATTTTGTGCAATTGCAATCTATGCCCCTCCTTTTGTCCGATGGTACACTACTAAATTTGATATCGAACTCTAAACTTGTTTGTCAACAACTCCAAGGGGTAAAATACTTGTAAAAGACATTTTAACGCTCAAGTCAATACAGGTTCAAATATCTAGGTGAGTAATGAATAAACAATAATTTTACTTCAATTTGTGTAATTATTTATATCGACTATAATGGACTTGGATCTGTTGGACTTTGGCTCTTAATTACCAATTAGGTAATACAACCTCTATTGATAAATTAATCTATTGACCATGCTTATTCTTCTTATTGATTGAATAATTCATCTTATGAGGGTTGGGTCGTAGTCATGTCAACCACCTCAACTGCTTTAATTATCAAAAGTGTCAAAAAGCTATCACAAAAATTAGAGGTGTACATGCATATATATATATATATATCAATTGACGTAGATCATATCGATTATCTCGACCATTAACGATGCTAAGACTGTGACAAATGTGGTAATTAGACGTACAATTTGATCAGTTTAGTTATCTTAGTCACTTAAGGTGTTAAGACCAATAGTGACTAATGTTCTAGTTGTTTTTTGGTATACATTTTTCAATCGTCTCGACAGCTAAGACAGTCAAAGCATGTTCTTATAGTCTATTACTAGTATAGTTTCAAAAGCACATTAATATTTTTTTTGTTTCAAACTACTAACTTTTAAATCATCTTTAATTTATTCATTATAACTTATTGTCAAATTTAAAGATTAATTATATATTTTAAATGTATTTATATTAATTAATATATTCATATTTTGGTGCATTGCACAAGCCTACAAACTAATAATGAAATAGAAGAGAAGGATATTAAAAATTGTTAAATTAAAAAATTATCAAATCAATATCAGTAAATCTAATTTAGTTGATTGACTAAGGTGAGTGAATGTTGTAAACCTCTTTAATATAGTGTTTGATTCTTATTTCAGTTTATTTTGAAAATATAATTTTTCTTCCGCTAATTGTGGAAAAAAATATTTATTTCCTAAAAAAAAGTTTTCCTTAAAAATAATCATTATGAGTACAAGAAAACAAGACAGTGGAAAATATTGCTCTAAATCCAAATTAGGCCAAAAGTAACGATAACAACTCAAGTTTTTTAGTTTATTTAAATATCATATTAATACAAAATATTCACTACAAGACAGTGACTAATTCCTATTGCGTGAGTACTCACAATGTAAGTACTCTCCTTCCAACATAGACTATTCGTACATAAGACTAGAATTCGAACCTTGGACAATGTTTGGAGCTCCTTTTAATGATATGCTTCAATAAGACATCCACGCTGGTTTCATTCTTGTGCCAGACAAGGGCATGGTAAGAACAGAACCAGATTCTGAACCACTGATTTTCTCAAGAAGATCCTTAACTAGATCGCCTGCTAAGTAAGAGATTCCCGAGGTTGCAAGTGCCAAGCTAACATAATGTAACACCGTTTTCACATAGGATTTGAGTGGTCTATTGGTGTAAACTTTCCCAATAGCAAGCACAATGATGCATACAACAGAAGCAGCTGCCACAGCTGCAATCTTAACTTCAGCATGGTAGTTCTTAGAAATCAAGAGGCCGTAGACAACAAGAGGGACAGAACCAAAAATTAGGAATGAGAAAATAGCTACAACAACATGGAGTAGGAAGTTTGCTCTGTGACCAAGTAGTTCTTGATAACGATCTTGCACATTCATTTGTAGTGTATCCCCTCCAGAGTGATCATTTTTCAGATCAATGAGCTGGGAAAGGGGAAAAATGAGCTTGACTAAGTTTTAAATGGACAGGAATTGAAATAAGAGAGTAGAAATTTCAAAGCAGCAAGAATGCGTGATCAAAACCCAAATAGATTATCAAAATAAAAATAAAAAGTTATCTTTAACCACAATAGAACTGTAACTATGACAATAAGAAACACATGAAGGCCACTCACATTATGGCCAATGACAAAAAGTCCACCGATCAGATTGGCCAACCCCACTGCTAGAACATTCACTACAATAGTTACAAGATCAGAAAATTAACACATTCTCACCAATCCAAATATCAATTTTTAAAATATAAAATAACAAGTCTACCCATTCAGATCACCATCTCATAAAAACAGCAGAGTCCTTTTTTTTTAACTACATTATATTTGAGAACCAAAAAAGGTTATAGCAGAAGATTTAATTAACGAACATGTCCAATTTGATACAAAGTTATCCAGCAAATCCACTTGATATCTTTTGGTTTTACCATTATGATCTGATCATTATATGGTGACTTCATGTACACTCTCTTAAATACACTGGCCTCATTTACCATAAACAAATCTATGGAAATAAGATGCAACTCTAATTCGTTTAAACATAAGATATGAATCTCTATTCATTTATTTCTTGGTACTTAACCTTCACACGCCTCAAATTAAGACTTCTTAAGCATTCTCTATATTAAGAAAGAGAAAAAATTCACACATAATGAGATAACTATAATATGTAATGAATTGATTGTCAATACCTCCTCTCAGAGGAGAAATCTCAATGGGAGAAATTATCAGACAGTCTTGGACCACATAGTTTTCAACTAGTCTCTGTATGTCATGTAATTAAATGTAATTAATATTTTCTGACAAATTGAAAAACTTAAATTATGTCACATTGTGATTGGTTGAGACCATGGATAATTGGTGATATTAGACTACGTAAAAATTTCCAGTAGAAAGAGAGTGAAGCACTCACATGGAGCAGTACCAGAAGCAACAGCAGAAGACACAACCCCCAGACTAGTGATTGATTCAACTAAACCACCATATACGATGCTTTTAAGTATTTCCCACTCTTGGTGCTCATCAATTTCAGTCCTCGGTTGCTCTCCAATATATATTTCAGTATGTGCTTCTGTAACAATAGCACCTTCAATTGGAATACTATCTGCTGTCTGGGACGTCGAGGTTATGAATGTTTCTGTCTCAACAAAATATTTCACATCACTAACAGCATCATAATCATAACTATGGTTCATATAATTACACCAGAAGAAAACCTATAAGATTTCTCATGAGAACACAAACTGAAAAAATAAAAGAACAAAGGCCAGCTAGAATTATTTTATTGTTAATTTAATTGATTATTAACTTACGTTCTTTCATGTTCATACCTTCTTTTTCTTTTGCAACAGATGGTTTAATTTCCTCTTCAACATTCTTCAACACTTCCTTAAAATCTTGATTTGATGGAATCGTAGCATCCACTCTAGAACTTGGTTTCTCACTAGCTACGTCATTTGCAGCTACTGAACCACCAAATGATTGAGCTGGTGATTGTGCTTCTTCCATCGAAGAGGAATAACTATCCTGTGCTATTTCCAGTGTTTTGTCTACATCTTTCTGTGACTTATCAAAGATATGAGACCCTTCATATGATTTTAGAATGCTATCTTTTGCAGGTTTTCCAGCATCTAAAAGTATTTCGGTAGTAGCAACAGTTGCCACTAAAACACCCTCACGCTTGGATATATCCGCAACAATACCTGCATGCATAATTCAATAAGCAACTAAGACAATTTTGCGGGTTTTGGAATTTCATAATATTTCACAAAAATATAGAGGGAAATTGATTACATTATAACATAGTGCTTCATTTATAACTAATGGCCTTCAATAATTGAGCCTGTGACAACGGAATCTGCATCACTAAGGAATTACCTCTCCAAGCAGATAGGTTACTTATGTTGCCAAATTTATCATGCATAATTGAACACTGGTTTTGTGTTGAGAACACAAAACTCAAAACAAAATCAAGGAATTCTCATCTTTAAATTTCAAGCATACCTGTCTTTATCACATCCACTGAATCACGATTTTTGTCTCCCAAATCCGTTCTCACATTTTCATTTAGAAGCTGTTTCGTTGCTGAAAAATCCCCTCTCACCTTCTGCAATACATTCACCACATCACTGGAACTCCCTGTAGAGAAATCATTCTGATCAACCAAAGGCTCATTCGGCAATGCCACATTTGATTTCTTGCCCTTTTCTATCCACGATTCAATCTTTACTACTGATTTCACTACAGAGGGAATAGGAGAATTTACTCCTACATTTCCAAGCTTAATATCTGATGTCAGATTTACATTCTGATTTGGTGTATTAGCAAGTGGACTTTCAGGATTATCAATTCTAGAATCTTCAATTGAAGCAGGATCAGTTCTAGAATCTTCAATTGATGCATCACCTACACCAAGATGTCAAGGAAACAAGCATTTTAATTGGAGGTTGAAAGATCTCATTACTAAAAAAAATTGTCAGTTCACATATCTATTCGAGAAAAAGGGGAAAGAAGACCACGAGGAATGTAGAGAAATAAGAAATTGTAGGTTTTATTATTTTATATAAAAATGGAGCTTCGAGAGAATGATATAACAAAGGCATAGTTAGGAAGGGGAGGAGCCCACCCCATGTTCATGTAAGCATCATTGTGAAAGTGACTCCACTAGTGGTAATTATTTATTACTATAATTATTAGCAATACCTTGTACACTAGCTTTTCTTCCCTTGTTTGAAGTAAAAAGAGCCAATAACCAATTTGCATTGGAAGCTGCTACTACAATTGAAGGGTTTTCCTTTTCCACGTTGGATGAAGGTATGACTGAAGGTTTTTGTGAAGTTTCAGGCTTATGGGTACCACCAAAACTGGGGAACAGCTTGAATTCATTTCCTGCCAAAGTAATTAACTAGATATTTTAGCTCACATAGATGATTGGCACATAAGGATCACAAATATTGTTAGGATGATTATCTTCAATCCTTAACCATTTCTCAAAACATTTGAATGTTACAATATTCATAACCAGATATCTTTCAATGAAATATTTTATACCACAAAGTCAATAAAATAAAATTGAAAATCTAAGACCACACAATGATATTTTGCTCAGGAAATGTGATAAACTTACTCATAGGAATAAAGAAGCTGAAGCATGATAAACATCTGAATACTTCTGGTTCTCTTTCAGGTTCATAATTATCAGCAGGTGGATCTACTCTTCCCACATCAGTTGTTGTTGCAATTGCATGATCAACTTGGTTGGCTTCGTCTACAGAACTATTAACCATCTCAGTGGCTAACTTGTCACGCTTTGCTATAGTGTCTATATTAGGAATGTTCCTTTTTCTCTTCCTAAGGATAACCCTTTTAGTGATGCAAGACTTGCAATTAGGACAAAATAAATCATGTGTCTCTTGTTTTGACAATACCGCCTCAACATCAAGTTCTTTCAGTTGCTGGTCAATTTTTTCTGACATGTTAGGATACGCTTTCGCACTGATTTCATCCCCACAATTCTCTACAGTTTCAGCCTGTATTTCAGATGACTTAGGTAAAAGTAGTAACTCTGATCCGGGAGGGGCTTTGTCATCAACAGTTTCCATGCATTGATTGTTGACTTCATTGCGTGGACTACATTGAATATCTGAATTTTTTACCCGTATATCAAAGCCTGCAAGCATGATATAGATAACCATTTCAATACCAAATTGCCACACATGATACTCATTCGTGGAGGGGGAAATATTAGCATTACATACATATCTATAGATATCATGAGTTTCAAAGATATGGTTATTATAGAGCATATATAATTGCTTTCTGCCAAATGAGACAATTATTAAGCATGCTATATATTATGACCATATTTTTAAGCAAAGTCCAAAACAAATTCGAAAATTGCATTTATAGAACATCAGAACAAATTTGGAGCATGGTTCATGAAGACATTCTAACAACTACAACCTTTTAAACCCAACAACTTAAAAATTAAGTGGTATATAAAAAGTTACTGCAAGGCAAGGTCTCTCCACGCCATAACCATTAGTGAATAGAGATTCCATCCTATTGGAAGACTATGAGCATGTTTGATACAAGTTTAAAAGAACCCTTGAGAATTTCTCTTACAAAAGTAAATAACTTTTTCCAGTAGAGAGTAGAAAAACTCTCATAACTACTTCATCAAACTTATATCCAAATAGATTTTATATAACGCAGGTCAGAACTAACTGCTAATGTATGCCTTAGAAATATCGGCACCTACTGACCTTTAGAATCACAAACAAAACATGGTCCATGTTGAATCATAGTTTTGACTTTCATGATCGAGCCATTAAGATTCTCGAGCGGCACATTCCAAGGACTGTCAAATTGCTTGGTCCATGTGCAGTGGTGACATTTCCACATTCCTTCATGCATAAAAAAGTGATGACAGACATGCTTACTATTACAAAACCCGAAATGGAAAAAAAAAAAAAAAAAAAAAAAAACAAACAAACAAACAAACAAACAAGCTAAGTCCCAGAAATTTGACGAAAAAAATATTATTGCAGTCCAGGGGGGGGGCATGATTATAAGATCCTTCATATTATTTGCTCAAATATTATTAGAAATATTATCATTCTATTTCTAATAAATATAGTTAACCCTTGCTCAAAAGTTTGTGGTATTTTTGAGACAAGCTAGAAGACACTTTGAGGTCTCACAAACATTGCTGTTGTAGGATAAAAAGTAGCACAAGCGAGATAGTATGGTACCTTGTTGTTTGTCAGAGTAAACACTATTCTTTTTATGAGATGCAGCAACATTTATGATGCCACTGCTTATGACCTCTCCATTCATTGCATTTTCAACAAAGTCAGCTAGCATTTCAAGCCCAACTTCTTCACTATCACCGTTGATGTTATTGTCATTTCCAACAACATTGCTTGTTTCTTCAACTTTCTGAGTGGCATGTTCTTTCTGTTCTTCTTTGTGACTATGAAGAACTTCTTCCTTCTGAAGGAGAAGTTTTTCTCCCACTGTAGAAAACGGAGGCATTACAGCAGTGGCAATAATGCTATCCTTTCTATGTTGCAGGGAATGCTTCCCTTTCGAAGCAGCATCTTGCGGTTCTTCTTCTTCTTCTTCCTCATTCACTATCCAGTGATGGTGCACTTGCTCCATACAAGCTGGCTTGTTGAGAAGGAGCAGAAGAAAAAGAAGGAACAGAGAATAAGACAAAGTTTCAAATATTGGAAGATGTGAAGGCTGCACAGTGCACACTAATCACTGTAGATAATGCTGAGGTGCCTCCACTCATCAACTTGTGTGAGATATGCATGCGAGCAAATTTGTCATTTTAAAATTTTGGTATATAAAAAATCAAAATTAAAAGTTTTTAAATTTATATGATCATTTTGGAAAAGGTGACGGCACTTTTAATTATTTATGATAAAATTTAATAATTAATATATATCCTTTTCCTCTTACATATAATAAAATAAAATAAAAATTCTCTTGATTATGAGATGTTTAAATGATTAATATTAGTTGTATATTGATTAATAAAAATTATTTACATACGAATGTAGTTTCTATAAAATGATAAGTTTTTATTTTGATTCTTTTAATTTTTTTAATCTTTTTAAATTAAGAAATGATGTTTTTAATCTCTATTATCATGTAATTATTTTAATTTTGATTTATTTATTTATTAAAATATTAAGTGATTTTCTTTATTATCTATAATTGTTAGTGAAGTAATTTTTTTATAAATCTTTAAAATAAATGTTATTTACTAATCTTAAAATCATTATTAAAGACAAAAAATATGATTTTAGATTTTAGAGTGATGAAATTTTTTTTTATAAGAATTAAAATTAAAATTTATTCTTGAAAGATTAAAAATATATTTAAATTAATATTTTTAAAATTATATTATTATTACAAAGAATTCATTAGAGTATCTTACAAATTATTTTTAATGAATCTCTCCTAAAATTTTGTTTAAGAAAATCGGATTTAATACTACATGTAACAACAACTTGTTGCTATATGATATATTAATTATCTCCCAACAATACTAAAGTAAAATTTTGAATATTTTAGAAAATTAAAATAATTGTTTTAATTTTGGGGCTAAAAATTATAACTATTTTGGGTTAAAAAACATTTCATTAATTTTTATAAAATTAAATGAGAAAACACTATATTTGTATTCCTGGGAATATTTCTTACTCTGGAAAATAAAGAAAAATCAGAAGTACATACTGCACGCCTAACAAATTCAAAGTCCTATCTTTATCTTTATTTTTATTTTTATTTTTATTTTTTTTTGAGGTTCAAGTTCTGTGTTGTGTGAAGTCGACGGCGATTATGACGCCGGAGTGAAACATTCAATCCTGGCCATAGGTCTGATACTTTTGGATTAGAATCATGAACATTAGGATACTGATCACTGATCAGTGCAGTATTTTGAGAATATTAGTTAAATAATTAAATTTTTATTAAAAATGTTAATATTTTTTTTATCGTAAAATCATTTTAAATTTATTCTCATATATTAAATATAAATCTTTTTACTAACTTCGATCGGTATAAGTGATGAGGAATTTATGTCACTTAATTAAGTGATCAAAATTTAAATCTTAACTCTTGCGAATATGAAAATTTTGAACCTGGAAAAGAAGATAATATTTGTCAAATTTTTGGAAAAAATTGCTCAACGAGAAATATTAAATCTTTTTATTGTACAACAGTATTTTTTAAAAAAATTCTTTATTGAAAGAGTTTTTAAATTTTTTTTAATTACTTATATTATTTAATTTTTATTTATTATAATTATTTATAAATTTAATATTAATATTTAAAATAAATTATCGATAAAATAATATTATACTATAATATAAATTATTTATTATAAATAAAAAATATAATTTATATATTTAAAAATATTTATTTATACAAATTTTAAATATAATTTATATATTAAAATATAATATTTATTTGTATATATAATTTATTCTAAAATTTAGTCATATATAATAATTATTAAACTTATACATTACACAAACTAAGATACTAATAAATAATAGGTTAAAACCCTTATTTAGTCTCTTATAATATTTTTTTGTTTCAATTTAGTCCCACTTTAATTTTTAGTTCCAATTTAGTCCTCAATAATTTAAATTATTGCAATTTGGGACTTTCGTCCAAATGATTTAAACGGAGTTAACTGGTGACCACGTGGATGCCACGTGGATACCACGTAGATGGATCCCAAATTTCTTGAATACACCTGGAACCAGAACGGCCCGTTCTGGTTGCATTCTTGGTGTGTAACTTTTGTACCTAGAACGACCCGTTCTGGTTTCAGAACGGCTCGTCTGATGCACTCATGTTGTGTTAAATTTACACTTGGAATGACCCGTTCTAGTTGCAAAATTAACACATAACATGTGCAAGCAGAACGTCCCGTTCTAGTTTCAAAACGGGTCGTTTTAGTTCCGCGTGTATTCACGAAATTTGACATCCACCTGTGCATCTACGTGGCATCCACCTGGCATCCACGTGGCCAACAATTAACTTTGTTTAAATCATTTGGATGGAAGTCCCAAATTGCAATAATTTAAATTGTTGAGGACCAAATTGAAACTATAAATTAAAGTGAGACTAAATTAAAACAAAAAAATATTATAAGGAATCAAATAAGGGTTTTAACCTAAATAATAATAACTGATTTTTTAATCGGTACTTTAAAAACACTATATAATAAGACCCAAACTATATTTAATTTCACCAATTTTAAATGTATATTTTTATCATGATTTTTTATAGAATCATACACTAAACAAATGCTACTTGCACATTTTAAATGCCACATAATCCACTTTAATGCCTTCATAATCATAAATTTGCTTGTCACACTATGACACTAACAAGATGAGCCAAACTTGATCGATTAACAACGATGCAGCTTTTAAAAACATTAATTTATTTAATTAAATATGAATACGCTATCGTGTTCATTAATAATATATATATATATATATATATATATATATATATAATTAATAAGGAGGATTCAAACAATACCGGTGTAACTTTTACTAAGTGTTACATCACTCAATAACTTTATATTAAATATGAATTTTGTAAATCCAACCGTTAGATTGAAAGTTCTTTCCTCTTAGATCATATATACAAAATTTTATATTAATCCAAGATAATTTGATACTTCATTTTTATAAAACAAAATTGACGTAATATATTCATTTCAAAATACACTTAAATATGAACAATTTGATTACCTTCAAATTGTTGTTCAATTTTAACAAAATTTAATATACACATATAAAGTGATATGAACTTTCAATCTAACGGTTGGATTTACAAAATTCACAATGAATATAAAATTATTGAACAGTATAATACTTAGTAAAAATTACAACAGTGTAATTATAACCCCTCTTATTATATATATCCTATATGATTTTATGATATAGCACTCTCCATATCTCTCATCGAGTTGAAACGTATGAGGCAACAATATATATAATATCACATAGGTATGTCAAAAAGACGCATCAAATTCATATATCTAACAAATATATATATATATATAGAATATTATTACTTCTCCATACAACTATCAACTAAAAGCATCTCTTTGATAAAAGCATCTCTTTGATATGGGAATTTTTAAAATTCACCGTCTACAAGAGGTCAAGTGTATATTTTTAACAACCACTTCCGGAAAAACTAAGAGAATATTCTAAAAATCTTTGAAAGTAGGTAATTAGATTACATCCTATATAAAATGACATGTGTTTGCGACTTTATGCTCTTGCTGGCGTGAAATTAAAAGGTCCAAGAAAGGAAGGAACAAAATTAATGTAATGTGGGAAATAAAAAAAGGGAATGAGAGAGAAGAAATTTCTTGAATCTGTGTTATCCTCCAAATAATGCAATAAGAAAAGAATAATAGGCACATCGCAATGTATGGTAAGTTAGTGCATGTCATTTTGTGTATATATATCAAGCATACATTAAACCGTCAGCAGCTTTGGGAACATCGACCATACACCCAAGTGAATCCAACCGAAGCCGTTTATTGCTAATTTTTTTACAAATTTAATGTAATCTCTTGAAGGCATATTCTATCAATATGCGTATCATGCATATAGAATTAAATGTCGAGAATCGTGTGTACATATAAGCTAATTAAATAGATTCAGTCAGCGTATCCCTCATCCAAAAACATTCATGCATTAACATGGCTCCCAAAAGACCCCAAAAGGTTGTGCAAATGGTAGAGACTTTAGGTGAAAAAGATGATGATGAACCGAAGAAGGACGAGGTTGTTAAAGTTTTGCCTTTCTTTAAACTCTTGAGCTATGCTGACGTGGCAGACTGGATTCTCATAGGTTTGGGAATTATAGGTTCTATCGTGCATGGCATGGCAATTCCTGTTGGCTATCTCTTGCTAGGAAAAGCTCTTAATGCTTTTGGGAACAACATCCACGACACTGATGCCATGGTTAAAGCTCTTGGAAAGGTTCGTACTTTATATTTTTTCCTATATATATATTAGGGAGAAAGAGCACCCATGACTAAATGTATTTATTTAAAAAATAAAATAAGGACAATAGAAGTTACATACTATAAAGTAAGTAATTTGTAATTGTTATTGCATGATGGGTGATTTGAGGTAGTTATAAAAAAAAGAAAAATATATATATCCCTACTATTATTAGATGTATATATAAAAGAAGAATGTTATCTAGCAAGAAAATATTCTTATGAATATGGTGGTCACCTCTCACACTGTTATTGTTTTAGAATCACAAAAAAATTTCGGTGCATGCAATATGTATGTTATTACTCACAGCATGTTTGGAAAACCGTTTAACACTATTTAAACAAACCTTTTCATTTTTTCAATGCAAAAATATCAAAATTACTAGTGTGTTGCTTTTGGGTTGAACGTAACTCTAAATCAAATAAATACTCACTAGTTGGCTAGTTATGTTTCTTTTATACTTTCTCGACTAAACTATTATAATTTTTTTTCTTTTGTTAATTATCCCTAAAAAGCATATCCTTTTTTAGTTATTTTTAAAATAAAAGTTAAAGCTGTAATTTTAATAAAAGTATATCGACTTAAAATAAAATTAACAAAACAAACAAACACGTCCTATATTCATATTTGAAAAAAGGGCTTGGAAATTCACGTTACCATGAACCACGTAGAAAGACCTTTAAATTGCACAAATTCATCTTAATTGGCTGTATAAATTAATGTTGTTGTTGTTGTTGTTTTTGGGTCAGACAGCAGTAGAAATTATTTGACTTGAATAAAGTTTATATAATTAATATGGGTTTGGTTTGTTTGTTGTTGTTGGGTTTAGGTTATTCCATTCGTGTGGTATATGGCCATCGCCACATTTCCAGCTGGGGTGCTTGGTAAGATTTATCTTTCATGCCAAACAAGAAGCCTCAATAGTGTTTTTTTTTTTTTTTTTAAATTATACTTTTGCTTTCTTGATAATATTTAATTTACTATTTTGATCTTATAAATTTTAAAACAAAAATTTTAGTAGATCAATTTTATAAATTTTATTATTTTAATTCAATCGTTAAATATTTATTTATTAATAAATAAAATTATAATATTGATTATGACTTAATATTAATTACATATCGTAATATTAACCGTATAATGTGATAATTATTATTCAATAATTTAAGTAAAATTATATTTTTGATTTTCATTTTTATCTATTTTCATTAAAATTGAGGACTAAAAATAGTATAATATAATAAATATTATTAAATATTAATTTTTACATCATTTTTTTAATGTCAAGACATGACTAACATTATAATTTAATGATTAACAAATATTATTTATTGGTTGAATCAAAATTGTGAACTTTACAAAATTAAAGGTTAAAATTATAGATTTAAAAAATAGGGATTAAAATTATGAATTAAATATTATAGGGAGATCATAAGTGCAATTTAACTTTTTTTGAGTAATTTATTTTAAAGACTAAAGTACATAATGGTGAAAATAAAAAAAATAAAAAACTTAAGGTTTGTTTTATTGTCTTTTTGTTTTATAGTTTTTAAAAACTATTTTATGAAATAAAATAATTTTAAAAACTAATGTTTAGATAGTAAAATTAGGGAAAGTGCGTTTTG